ATACCTTTTCTATGTATAAGCTAATAGCTAATAGCGGTATAGGCTTAGTATATTTCAGTTGATTTCAAAAAATTTCGACGGCAGCGCTGTATATGGCAAAAATCAGAAATTTTTGCTATGTATTTCACGCCATCCTAGTTAGAGTTCATGTTGATCGCATTTAATTAATTTTGAAATCGTGGCTTAGCCGAAAAAAAGTTAGCGCGTAAAGAGATCGTTATTTAGGGCGTTGGTGGGTGCAATAACATTCAATAACTCAACTTTCCCGGATATCCAACTCTCCCGAAGCAACATTTTATAGTTTCATAGTTTGTCACACCGATTTGGTCAAAAGCAAAAATGGATTCAAGCAGTTCGACGAAACAAGTCAGTAAACAAAGTGCTCGTTAGATAATCAAAAAATGAGAGGATAAAATATAACTTGCAATATTAATGATATACTTTTTTTAATCAACTCGTTATTAAATGATTTATAAACATCTTCTAAAATTTTTAGTTTTTTTGTTTTTTTTAAATTTCGTTATAGCCGAAATAGCCCCAATTATGACTCCACTAGCAAAACCGGTGAGTAATACTATGCTCGCTACCGTAGTTGAACTCATCTAAAAAGTTTTTTTAGCTAGCATAACAAGTTATAATACAATTTAGACCTTTTGGAGATATACCAAGAATTTAAAATACTTATTTACTTTTTTATTTTTAGAATTTTTACACATTATACTTCCTAACAATTTTAGACAAATTATATAATAAATTTTTCGTATACTAGCTATTTAAACCCGTGTATTTGTATATATCAGTTATTTACGATATTTTTCGATGGTGGCAGCACCGGCGGAGAATGAACCAAGCCAATAACAGAAAACCGAACATGTCTAGTCTAGATATCTGGTTATATAATTTATGTGATATTCATTATTCTATAGATATAAAAAGCATAATAAATTATGGATATTTATGTTAATAAGTTAATATTGTAAACTAATTTACAAACAATTCTAATATTATATTAAATATGCGTTACAACATTTCTCACAAATCATAGCTAAATAATTACTCATAATGTTCGGTCAATTAATATTATAAATTTGGGATATTATTGGAATAGAGAATATTTAGTTGTTTATTGACTATTACGAGAGAATTACAGACGTACGTGTATGTGTAATAAATTATCACAGCAAAAAGAGACAATATAACGATCTATAAATCTGGTTTTCCTCTGCAGACACAAGTGTAAACTGCGAGAACAAATGTTTAATCCATTACTGAACATGTGATACACATAAAAGGTTTTCATTTATGTGCTATAATGTTATAATATTGACTATGTACAAGTAAAGAGAGAAATCAGTTAAATTATTACTGCTATGAATTATTTGACACTGTCAAAGAGAAATACATAATTACCTTACCTTTAATAAAGTAATTTTGGTTCATCGAGGCCGGTGATCTCATTACTGTTTACGAGTTGTTTTCTTCAACATTTTATGAAAGTCAAATGATTAAAGGCAACGCACAAAAGAACCGCGAAATTGCAAAATTTAATGGTTGACATTTTCTTTGCTTAATTAAATTATTCATACAGCTGTAGTTGCCGCAAAATTGGTTTTATAAAGGTAAGAGCATAAGGGAGAAATTGTAAATACGAAAGAAAATACATTTATCAACTAAAAACGGGAAATAAATTAAATATGGGAAGAATAAAATTCATTAAGAGGATAATAGATAATTTGTCTTGGATTTATTAAATAAATTTGAAACATTTTATACTTTGATTTACTCCCTATGCTATAACAACAAAAATTCAGGTAATTTCTAATTATTCTACAGGGAGTTTCAAAAAACATGTGCCATCTCTTGTGGGGAGATTCCTCATGTAAAAATAAGATTTATTTTTCATATCAATATAGGTCCGATTCTGTTTTGTTTCTTAGCTACAAGGTGTTAAAGTCTTAATACATTTTCGATTTATTATAATTCTCTTCCAAATACTTTTAGTGTTTCGAATGGAATTTTGAGGGTAAAAGTTACTATAAATGCGACATATTTTAATGCTAAAAAAGTATCGACATGTTTACCAGTGATGTGCATATGGGTTATCACTGGAATATTTTTAAGCATGTACGCAATTGACTGTTTTCTGTTGTTAAAAAAAGTGTAAGCTGTTAAATGCCGATTAAAAGTTGTCTCTTGATATTTTGTTGATTTTGGCCACCTTGATGAGATAAACGCAATTTTATTAATTTGTCTTCATCCAAATCTAATAGGAAACTTTAAAAAAAAATAATATCATTAACTTGCGAAAGTTTTAAATAAGTACTCATTGATTCCCCATCAAAAAATTTAATAAATAATAAAAATCACCTAATTTTTATTTGAAATTGACATAATTAGGTAAGGTTAGACTAATAGTATTAATATTTAATAATAAATGAGGTAAAATATATAATTTATTAATTTTATCTTTATTGTAATTTCATTAATTGTGGTTAATAAATTTGCGTTTATCTCATAAAGGAAGCCGAACTTATAAACAGGTATATCAAGCGGCCCAGACGGAATATATTCCGAAATATTAAAAAATGGTACGTAGAAACTCTTTCGAAGCTTGACATCGATTTTCAATAAATGCTTAAACGGGCATCCTGCTCCAAAAGAATTTATATATCTTACATATCCTCAATCCATAAAAATGAATACTGACTGCAATGAATACCAGTATGAGCTAGGAGTACAATGAGCAGGTTATATAGTGAAATTTTGCGTGATCTTATACAAGAAGATTATAGAGAAAAGGAAGAAGCAGAACAGAACGGTTTTAGAGCAGAAAAGTCGGGTTACACATAACGTTTTATATCTAAAACGGATTGTAGAAAAAAGATCGGCGAGAAACTTGTACACACATCACACATGTAACATTTGTTGACCTACAGAATGTATAAAACACTGTCGCAATATCCAGACTAAGGAAAGTACTAGAACAATCTACCATTAATCATCGATAGGACGCAAAATTAAGAATATAGGCAGGAAAAGAGCTTATAGAAACGTTTGTAACCAACCAAGGTCAACAAGGGATAAAGAGCAGTGTGCAGGAGCAGAAACATGGAGAATAACCGAGAAAAACAAGAAGAGGGTAGAAGCAATAGTAATGGATGCTATTCGAAGATCAATGGGAATTTCCATAAAATGAATAAGGAATACTCCATAAAACAACAAATTGGTATCGATGGCACAATAACAGAAGGTTACGGGTACGTGGAGTGAATGAAAAATACAGGATGGGTTAAGAGAATAATGAATTGGTAACCAACGCAACGGGTAGAAGAAAACAAAGAAAACCGAGATTGGAATGGCAAAAAATGCACAAAAATCGATAATTGAAAGAAATCTCTGAACAGAGGATTGTACAAATAGAACAGGCTGGAGATTGGGTATCCGACAACGGCGAAAAACGTTTTAAATTTAAAAAAATGTGTGTGCACCGTGTGTGCACATTTGAAGTAAAACATCTTACTAACAATTATTAAGAGTCCATTTCACTAGTCCGAAAAAGTAGCAAAATAAGCGTTCGGCATTTGACGTTTAATGTAAAACTGGCTAGGTATTTTTACATAAATGAAGAAGGAAAATAAATTGAAGTTTTGTGATTACAGTGATATATAATTTATATGGTTTTGTAACAAATTGCTCGCTATTTTATGGCAAATGCTGAAGCTCTGCAAACCTTAATCAAGCCTTAATCAACGCGTGTGTTTGGAATTTTGGGTGTGTCTTAACACGACAGGATCAGACTAAGTCTTAAGGTGCCATTACACGGTGTGTGGCTTCCCGATCCACGCGTCTGGCACGCGAATCGCCGAGACAGGACGCGCCAATGCGTATTTTCGCACTTGCGATCTCACGGCCGACCGGGAGACAGAGTACAAAAGATATATTATATAACTTTTTAACATAGGCTATCGGTTTAAATTGGGTTTAAATTCATACAATCAAATAATTTATTCCGCAACTTTATTTTCAGTGCAGTTTATTAAGATAACAAGATGGAAAGCAAAATCATCTGGTTAAATTAAATAAGGTAATAATACTTTTTTTAACTAGGGTTATTTATGTTCAAAAGTTAAATAATATTTTTTTGCCTTATTTATGAAAATATAATTTTAGAGTATATCATATTTTCAGAAAGCCCATAACAAGGCAAATAATATAAAAAAATAATATACTGGGTGTCCCATTTAAAAAATGGAAGTAATATTTCGAAAATGAGAACCATCAGCGAAACGAGTAAACATCACTGGATTCTACGTAGAAAACTAAACGAGACTGTTAGCGGCACGCCTATGGCTATGCCATGACGCCCTCTGTGAAATGCAAGTCTAGTAGAGAGAACACTGCGATCTAATAACCTCATGCCTTGTAAATCTCTGTAAGAATAATCCTTTAATAAAGAGATTAGTTCAGTTTATTACTTTAATTTCTAACAGAGACTGAGTTTTCACCTTTTCGATAAGTTATAAGATAACCGATAGGGGAGGTCGGGGCATGATGACGAACGGGGCAAGATGACGAAGTACTGATTTAAAGAAAACTGTACATCCTAAAAATCCCATTTATTTCTCTATAAATTCCTTTAGGTGTATAATACGTCGGGTTACACATAGATGGAGCTATAGGTTTTGCATCGGGTTTAAAAAATCATAACCGCTTTTCACACCTGTTAGATGTAAACATCCAGCTCCAGAAAATAAAGAAAATAAGCAATTTCGCAGGTTTAAAGAAAAATAGAAGCCCTTTTCATAGTTAATCTTGATTATTGTGGACATTTTAAATATTAGAAGGTAAGATACAACTTAATTTCACTTAATTAATAATTTAATTTTTGCTGTTTTCTAATAAATGTTTCCTGGGGCAAGTTGACGGAGGCAAGATGACGAATTCGTCAACTTGCCCCACTGTGTATAAAATTAGTTAAATTCATTTTTTGATGTTTTTAGATGGTAAGAACTTATAAACACCGTACAGATAGACGCTCTTGGTCAGAAGACGTGCTTATTGCCGCGTTGCACTCTATTTTGCACGACCATAAGTCAGTTAATGCTGCCAGTATTGAGCATGGAATCCCGGAAGCAACATTAAGACGTTATATAAAAAAGCAAAATAACAACGAACCAATTCCTCTTAGTGGTGGGAGATTCAGAAGAACGTTTTCTGATGCTCAGGAAGCTCAGTTTGTGACCTACCTAACTGACCTGAGTATTAGAGCATTTGGAATTACATCAGTACAATTTAGAAAACTAGCCTACGAATTCGCTGAACTTAACAACATAAACCATCAGTTCTGCAAAACCACAAAATTGGCAGGCACGGACTGGCTTAAGTCGTTCATGAGTAGACATAGGATAAGTCTTAGGACCCCAGAGTCGACTTCGCTGGGACGATTATTCGGATTTAATAAAGTTGAAGTAACTAGATTTTTTGAGTTACTTAGAGAAACTAGATTAAAATACAATTTTACTGCTGACCGCATTTATAATGCAGATGAATCGGGATTATCAACGGTTCCCAATAAAAAGCCAAAGATTTTATCGCCCACTGGTTCTAGGAGAGTATCAAAAGTTGCTAGTGGTGAGCGTGGAAAAAACACCACCGTTGTATGTGCCATGAACGCCCAAGGGAGCTACGTTCCACCCTTTTTTATTTTTGGAAGAGTTAGGATGCGACCAGATCTTTTAAATGGATGTCCTCCAAACTCTGCTGGTATAGCTCAACCCAGTGGATGGATGAATACAGAAGCCTTTGTCCTATACCTTAAACATTTCGTGAAATTTGTTCGCCCAAACACAGAGACACCCGTATTGTTGATCGTTGACAATCACTCGTCTCACACTTCACTGGAAGCTATCAATTATTGTAGGGATAATGGAGTGGTTATGTTGGGACTACCCCCGCACAGTACCCACCGCCTACAACCGTTGGACGTTGGGTTTTTTGGACCTCTCAAGACTTTCTATAGCCAGACTTGTGATAACTATTTGGTAAACCACCCGGGAAAACAAATCACCGATAAAGAAGTTGGTAGGTTGTTCGGGCAAGCTTATCTAAGGGCTGCAACTGTGGGAACAGCTATAAAAAGTTTTTCCGCTTGCGGCATTGAGCCTTTTAATGCTGAAATCTTTGGAGATTCCGATTTTGCGCCTTCTATGGTGAGTGAGAGGCACGTAACTGCGGACAACGAGTTCTTAAGCAGTGACGATGAACCACTAGCAGTTCCTGGGTCTTCAGGCTCAAATAGAATTGATCAAGCCAAAACAAAAAACAATGAAATACAAGATGGTAAACCACCAGCGGTTTTCAACAAAACTGAGCCAGAAAAGCTTGTGAATTTAATTCTCCCAGGACCCTCAGGATTGAATAAAATGGATTCTGCAAAGAATAAAAACTATGAAACACCAGATGTTGAACCCCCATTGCTTTCCAAAAAAAATCAGCCGGCAAGGTCAATGAATTTGTCCCTTCCTGGACCTTCAGGCCTACAGCAAAAAAAATCTGCAAAAAACAATGAAGCACAAGCTCTTGGCACTATGAGTTCATCCAGCTCCAGTCAAACAATCTCTAATGTTGATAGTCGAGTTACGCTACTTGAAATGAGACCCTTTCCCAAATATACACGTCCCATAAAAACTACCAAAAGAATTAAACAAAGGGCTTCTGTTATCACCTCAACACCCAACAAAGAAGAACAGGAAAGAAAAAACAATGAAAAAAACTTAAAAGAAATTAAAAGAAGGAAGGTTGATTCTGTGAAAGTCAAGAGAAATGTATTTCAAGAAAATCGTGAAAAGCAGGTAGGAAAGAAGAAGAAAACTAATGACATTTTTTGTCCTGGCTGCCAGGAATCCTATATTGAGCCTCCTACAGAAGACTGGATTCAATGTAACACGTGCGAGAGTTGGTGGCACGAGTCGTGCACAGCCTACGAAAAAGATGGCACATATACCCGCGACATTTGTTTATAATCGTCATCGTGCCCCTATAGGCTCGTCATCTTACCCCGGTACTGGGGCAAGTTGACGAAAATGCACTTTTTTGTTTTTTTCTTTATATTTTTTCAAGAGTATACTTTTATTTTGTTTTTTATGTTTTATTATGTACCTGAATAAATGTACTAACAGATGAAATGGGATCTTTTTTTTTTAAACCCGTTAGTTCATGTTTTGGAGCCTTTTGTATTTTACTTCGCCAACTTGCCCCGATCTCCCCTATACGATGGAATCGAAAAATGCAACATTTTAAAATTCGTCCTGTATTTTAGGAACTAAAAATTATAATAATTAATTTTTTAATTCGTTCATGGTGCAATAATTATTGATACTCGACTTTTGATGTATTCTCAGGCAGCCGTCCTGTATTTCATTTCTATTTTTATGTGCATTATTACTGGGGTTCCAAGTTATTTGTTCTCTTTCATATAGGGGTAAAAAGATATTTTCGATAGATATGGTAAATTACATAATCAAATGTATCACATACCTACTGTGTTCAAAGTAAACAATTTTTTGTAGTACCGGTTAATACCTGGCCGGCTATAAATCAGTTCATTTGTGATTGAACTAATCGCACTGAGGGGTAAATTGGTACCTATAATATATTGTTATAATCACCGGCAATTACCACTGCTCAAATTACCGCCAATAAATTAGTATATCTATACAAATTTTAAATAGCATAATTGCACAAAACTTTATGAATTAATATTTCTATAGCCTGCTGTAAAATTTAGAAGTATAAATTAAGTATCAAATACAATTATTACACATACATAAATCACATCAGCAAAATCGTATATAGTGCTTCTCACCCTTCTAGTAATAGTCAACATTTTTGACATATTCTACACCCTTCGGGGTATTTGTATGTAACTTATATTATTATACTTAGAACTAATAAACTATATCTATCTATACGAGTATATAATTTATACAGCATTTAGAATAAATAATAATTTTAAACAATAACATGGTAGATTATATTGGTATACCCTGTATTTATCAGTAATTTTTATACCTAATTAATATGATATTTATAGATTTTTTAAGCTAATATCAAATTATGTATGTTTGCATTAAATGAAGTTATTTATATAAATTATATAACAAATAAAATTAACTAAATTTAAAAGAATTACTGGTGAAGACCTCGCACGGTGCGTTTACTTTGAAATTTACCGCCAGTCGATGGGAAGGACGCGCCGATCTTCGGTCGGCGCCGACCCACTCACACGGCGTGTAGCGCGTATTTTTTGTTTCAGGCTTGGCGATCCACGCGCCGTGTAACTGCACATATACCCGGCCGTGGCCCGAAGATCGGCCTGCCGACACAATCACACGGAGCGCGGCGCGAAATTTTTTCATGCAGGCTCGGCGATCCACGCGCCGTGTAACGGCACCTTTAGAGAGACTTCTGAAATATAATATATTTATATTTCCTTCGGTCACACACTCACTTTACCCGAACCCTGAGGGCGACCCGAAAGTACAGCGTAATAGACTCTTAAATTGAAGGTTTTTTTTACGTGTAACAAATAGTTTTTTACGTGTAACAAATATTTTTTACGCGTAAAAAATAGTTTTTTGCGTGTAACAAATATCTTTTTACGTGTAACAAAGAGTTTTATACGCGTACAATAAAATATGTCGCGTCATTACGTCCGTGTTTATAAGCCGTAGGCTGTATCTCGCTGGCTCGTGGCAAGGCCTTGAATTTTTACTCCCAGCGCGCGTAAAGAAATTTCACTTCAGAATTGATATTAATCATAAAACCGGAGTTACATAAAAATGTACACTATGGTTGTAATAATTACTCTCATAAACCTTATCATAAAAGTTCTTTAAACTAATAAAAATGTTCCCAATTTCGAACTTTTCCCGTTATAGTATTAATATTTAAACTATCGTAAGGAAGTTGTTAAAAAACAAATTACTAAAAAGTTGGTTTGTTGAACAGCCAAAAGTTATATAATAAATTTGTGCGCCACTGTCGTTACCTTCGCTAAATTAAAATTTAAATGCGTCAAACACGCCATTCCTTATGGAAATAAAGAAAATTCTCACGCAACTGTGCGATGTTTACACTTTAGAACCAGCAATTTTATCACACCTTCGTAATAATAACTGAGGCGTTTAAACATTTTATTTAAGCATTAATCGTCGAGATTATGCCGTAATTTCGAATTTAATTCTCGTAAAGTTGCTAAATCGGATTGAGCGGAGGTAGATTGGGCCATTTTAAATTTTAATTGTCATATGGCAACATGTCTCTTTTAAAATTTAGTTAAACCCAAATAAAATATTTATTAGGCGAAATTTGAGGTTGCTCCGGAATGTCTAAAAGGTACTAGAATAAATGGTGACTTAAAGAAATGAACATAAATATACAGGGTACTACAAATTCGAGGTACGAGCATTGGTATCTCGGAAACCGTAAAAGATACGAAGATGGTTAAATTGGGGCAAAGTTGCGCCTTGGGCTGTTCACCAAGATGCTATCAAAAAAGTTTTAAAAATTTCAAGGATTGCTGAGTTTTTTGAAAAAAAAAACGGATTTTCTTGAATATCAATTTTATTTTTTCCTGTCGTTACTTTTTAGACAATCAAAAAACTAATTGCACATTTTCATAGCCACTTTATTACGGCTATTTGATAGTATTTTTAGATTTTCAAATGAGCTGATGATTTGTGAGATACAGAAACCAACTTTTTAAATACGGACCTGCACTTTTTATTACATGTTTTGAAAGAAGTCGGTCTCCTGAGTACAATGGTATGCCATACTTTATACTTTTTTTTTTGTTTTGGGTACCTTAACAACAATAGAACTATTTAATTACTATTTAAAATAATTCCAAGTGCGACTCTGGTTTTTTAAATTATTTAATCTGATTATATTTACTGCAAAAATATTTATCAGCGCTAATTAACTTTGAATAAGGAAAATCGAGCCAATTGAAAGATTCAAATAAATAATATTCAGGTCAGCAATATAAAGATATTATTTTTAACTTTTTTATTGTGAATTTGAAACCTCAGTATACGGTCTAATGATATGCATAATATTAATCGTAGTTATTATAAATAAATCATCTTCTACAAACTAGTTTCTAATGCTGTACATGTTCGGAAGGGATAGGTTATAACACTCTACCTATTGCACAGATTTACTATTCGTTCAATTTTATTTATAGCTTTGTGAACATATCTTCCGAATGCCAGTTTGTACTCTTTATTGTACCTAAATGTTGAAAAATATTAATTTCACTTTTACAAATGACGTCAAGTATTGCCCCCCCCCCCTGGCGACAAGTCCAGAAACATCGCTGGCCCATTATACTGCTCTACCATTTCCAATCCATCTTCCGGGGAAATGATTTGATTGTTTATATTATATTATATTTATATTATCTATTTTATATTATTTTTTATTGCATTTGATTTTCCATATTCAATGTTTAACCTCACGTTATTGTTAAGTTTGAAGGCTTATAAATATTGTAAGGATGAATAGATTAAATATTAAAAAAATATATATATTAAGTGTGGCATACTCTGGCGTACTCTGGAGACCGAGTTCTTTCAAAAGCTGAAGAAAAAAATGCAGGTCCGTTTTTAAAAAAAATAAGTTGACCTCTGTATCTCATAAATTATGAACTATTTGAAAAATCTAAGAATACCATCAAATAGCCCTAATAAAGTGGCTATGAGAATATGCAATTAGTTTTTTGATTTTCAAAAAAGAAACGACAGGAAAAAATAAAATTGATTTTCATAAAACTATGTTTTTTTCCGAAAAACTCAGCAATCTTTGAAATTTTTAAAACTTTTTTGATGGCATCTTCGTGAACATCTCAAAGCGCAACTTTGCCCCAATTTAACCATGTTCGTATTTATTACGGTTACCGAGATGCCAATGTTCGTACCTCGAATTTGTAACATCCTGTATGTTTTCGGGGATTTCATTGTCCTGAAATAATTCACATAGATATCAACCTTTTGTATACAAACTTAATAAGAAAATGAAGGTGATTTCTATATCTATTGTTTGTATGCAGGTGTTTATATTGAAATGGTGAGTAGATCAACATTTTTTTTATCTAAATACCAAATTCTATGTTGTTGCCTTTCTAGTATCTTTTTATTTTAAAATTAGCTTCAAATTCTGCAATATGGCATTTCAAAAAACGACAATTAACAGCGATGAAAACGTTACCCTATCAGCACATATTGGAATAAATGTAGAGCATTTGTCAATTGTATTATCAGAGTTCTACATGATTTATCACAGCTCCAACATAATTATAGCCAAAGGCTTGTAGATGAGCAAAATGATTCAAGATGTGAAAGATAAATTTTAAATTATGAAACCGGAATTACATAAAAAATGTCCATTATAGTTGTAATAATTACTTATAAAAGTTATCGTAATAGTTATTTACACTACAAGTGTGTTTATGAACATGATTACAACGAGTGTGAACGATTAGAACGACGAGGTCGTAGACCGAGTCGTTCTAATCACACGAGTGTTGTAATCATGTTTAAACGCACGTGTCATGTACAACGTTTTATCTACAACCGAAAAATAAGAAAATGCTGTTTTAATTTTCGTTTATTAGTCGTCCACCCTTAACACCTTTAACTATGACATTTGTCACATTTATGCTGAAAAGTCAGTTTGCCCTGTCCATTAAACGCGAGCACTTTTTGCCCAGAAAAATCATTTTAAAAATTACGATGAGCGATTCCCAAAGTCTTCCTTCAGATGTAGAACTTGCCGCAGTACGTGCCACGGAATCATTATTGCCGGAAAAGTTAATATATTTAGATGTTCGTAGTTGTTTTTCATTATTATAGCAACTAGTTGTGTTATAGATTCATAACACCACTAGTTGTGTTATGAATCTCATAACGTAACTGAAATACTAAAAAAATAGTGATGTAAAAATGTTATAACTAAACGGTTA